AGACAAAGCCTCTTTATTTTTCAAGTGTCCTTTGGGAATTGTATTGACAGCTGAGTTTTGACTTTGCTGTCTCTCAAATAACAGAAATGCCATACAAAAATTGATGGAGACATTTTGTTGCAAAATTTGAAGGAGCTAACTTGTCATTGAATTCTTACCAGCAACTAAAAATTCTATTATTAAAAATTATAAAAAATGTTCTTGTTTGGCTGATATCTTTTTAATCAGCCGTACATAAAAATAGCAATAGTAGGATATTTTAGGTGCTGCCATCTTCTCTTCATTGGTTTTGCACTACTAATTTACACTGATTTAAAATGCATCTGATAAGTGTGAGTTGAGTATCTGTGCCAGTGAAATAAAGGTTCTTTCAATATACTACTTTTTATTCATGTGATTATATAACATGACTATAAAAAACACCATTTGACACGCACAAACCCAATTTTTGACTGGGAACTTTACACTGAGATTTTGCCTGCAGCAGATCTTTAGAAGTGATCTAGAAACTGAGCGTTTCTATTACATACAAAGAGCACAGGATGCAGCAGTTTGAGGGTTACTAGAGCAAAACGCCTCCTTTTTATACAACCAAAAATTATTTTACAGTGTTGTCCAGAATCTGCTTCCTATGACGTTTGGTGAATTCAAAACAAAGCAAAACAAACAGAAAGATTGAGATACAGATGCTATAAAGCTGTCTGCAAGCAAAACCTATTTCCTTTCTCCTCCCCCTAGATAATTACTCCAATTTCTCCTCCAGCTGAGTTCAGATTATGTTTCTGTCTAATAGATGAGAAGCTTCATGGTATTGACTATATAACAGACATTTAATCATGCATTTCCTAGAAGAGATGAGAAAAAAATCCGAAAACAAAACTCAAATTGCTTAGAAACAAAGTAACTGGCATAAGAGGCTCATGCTCAAATTTATGCCTTATGTCAATGAATGCCATGGTCTAAAATACTTTAACAGAAACCTCACTCAGTTGTAGCATGGAAATTATGACAAAGAAGCAAATTTTCTGTGACACAGCACATTGTCTTGACACATGCACTGTCAGAGACACCTGTAACACTAGAACAAAGAGGAGAATTTGACACTGACAGCGTTCTATCCTCTCCTGATTCAGCTGAGAGGTGGCCAAGTGGCGAGCTGCACGCAGCTGGAAGGGGCAGAGCCAGCAGAGCGGGATGCAGCCCCATCACCTGCATGTGGCAGGGGTGCAGGGGAGGGGACAGTGCTGCAGGGCTCCCCGGCAGGACAGGGGTGGCAAAGGCCACGCTGGGGCCACACAGCACACGGTGGGACGGAGAGAGCCCTGGAGGTGGGTTGGTGTGGCCACGGGGGTCTCTCACCCAGGGATTATTCACCTCTAGTGCTGTACCCTGGGCCCGTCAATCCCAATTTCACTGTTTTGGGAAGACCTTGTGCAAGGCCTCTGCAGAAAATTTAAACATAAAATTACCCAAGACAGTTTTTAATGCTCTTAAAAATGTTTTCTACACATACAATCAGAAGTGCGAACGCTGTGAACTAGGACTACAAAGAAATACATATCCAAATAGTAATTGTTTCTATTCCATTCTCTCAGTTTGTGGAGAAAGCTCTATTTCATCCTAAGAATGAGTTTATCATTGCATGCAGCCAACCCCGCTGTCCCAGAAGGGGCAGCCAGGCTGCTTTCCCTGCACAGAGTGAGGAGCAGAGCTGCTTCAGCTGCCCTGGGTGAGGGGGTGCTCTGCAGAAAGCAGCCAGGACAAAACTGTGAGCCTGTACACTTGCCGTGGTCTGTAAGGAAGGAAAACCAAGCTTTCCTCATTAACAGCCTTCGGGGTTTCTGCAAAACCAAGTAATGACAGACAGGATTACAGAGGATGGGAAAGACAGAAAAATTAGTATAAAACAAAAAACACGTTAGACATGTGTCTGAAAGATGAGTAGAACAAGTGTGTCAGCATGCTCCTAAAGAAACAGAAAGATTTGGGGCAGAAAAAGCGTTACAGTCTCAAGCAATCACATTTCAGGGTGTGGTTCCCTTTGAGAAAAGGGAATTTTAAAAATAGTTGCCATAAGCTAATAAACTAATTTGTGTTAAGCATGAAAGCAGACATTTAGATACTAAAATTATTACTATTATTATAAAATGCTTAATATTATATCTTAATTAAAGCAGTAACAAATACAGGTTTGGCTTGATTTATTCACAAAGGTTTTCCTGCTGTTATGACCAGAACCACCCACAGGATTGCAAGACTGGAAGCGAACTTCTTGAGTCTCCCAAGATCAGGTCCTCCATCAGGATAAATTCTGTCATAAATTGATAAGTTCCATCTAAAAATAGGCGAGATTTATGTCTCCATTGCTGTGATGAGAGGCCAAACCAGCTACCCTCTCTCCAGTGACTGGAAGGCCTCCAGCTTCCAGATTATCAACATCACTGATCAGTCCTTGTGTGCTCGAGGGAGAAAAAAAGAAAATAACTGTTTCAGAAAGGAATAAGCATTTGTTTTAAAACGTAGAGAGATTAGGATTTTGCCTTTGCTATGGATAAAAGTACAGTTGGGAAAGATGCATGGGTGGATCACTAATCTGCCATAAAGCTGGTTCCTGGGAAGCCACTGACAGCTCAGTTGGTTGATGAGAAACAGTGGCTTTGTGACAGCATTTGGTTTGGCTGGCAAGGATTCATTTATTCAAAACACACAGAGCCTGTTTGTTGTTCATTTCTGGAAACATCAGCTTCTGCTCCATATCCAACCAAAAAAGACATTCCTTTTTCATTTTTCATGTAACATTGAAGTTTTTTGGCTTATGACATGATAAAGGCTTTTAAAAAAATGTTACTGTTTATAGCTACAAATAAATGTTAGTGAGCATGACTTTTAAAAGTTTATATATTTCAGAGTAAAGTCTTGTTAAATTTAATACAAGTAGTAGTAGTAGTAGTAGTAATAATAATAATAATAATAATAATAATAATAATAATAATAATTTCCTTCCTTGTTTTTCAAAGTTCAAACTATATGTGAAACTGAAGGCTTATTTCTTCTTTTTAAAAACTGCTTTTAAAGCCCCCAAAATCTAAATCAAAATTAATTCAAATAAGGCAAGGAATATCAAAGTAGATAACAAATGTCTTTAAATTTACTACCTATGTTTTTATATGTTTACAAATTATGTACAATGTATTTTACATTATCACAATTAACATTATTACAATTATTGTTACAATGTATCTAAAAATGAAAAAGAAAGCATTCACTGTAGAACTAACTTCCTGGTCAGTTTCAACATTTCAGCGAGTTCATATGTCAAAACTAATACAGTCATTGGAAACTTTTCCTAGTATTTTTTAATTTTACCTTTTCATTGTTAATGTTTTAGACAATATTGTTTAATTTAATTTTTAATTCAGGTTCCTGGGTTGGGTTGAATTTCTCTCCTGAACAAGAAAGTAGAAAAACAGTGTACTGACTTTTCAAAAATCTATGTAAGCTACAGTTTCTCCAGTGCTGGAGATATGCACATCATATCTGAAGTTTTCACAGGGCTCTGAGAAACAGAGATAACTTTAAAGTTGACTTCCCCATCCCCACTTGCCCAATTTCCAGCACGGCTGAGGTCCAAGGTTTTGACTCAAGCTCATTTCTTAATATTTAGCTAATTTAAATGCTAATTAGACTAATTTGATGAATAAAACATGGTAGGAATTCATTAACAACTATGTTGCGCTTGCTTTATGTCTACAGAGAAATTTTCTGAAACAGGACTCCAGAGACAGCAGCATCTGTTACAGTTGAACAAGTTGGGCTCTTTGTAATACTAAACTTAGAGCTGGTAATGTGTTGCAGAACTGCAGAGAAGACAGAGGAGCAATTTTAAGTTTTTCAGATCTAGTACATCTTGGACATAGGCCACTGATGAAGAAAAGGCATTATGCTGTCCTGAGCCCATCTGCTTCATGGGGTTTGCTCTGAGCTTTGGATGCAGAGGAAGAAATTGTGCCTTATCTCTGTCTCTCAATACCTACTAATGTCATTTCAGCTGTTCTGCCTGCTGTTATTGGTGCCTATATAAAGAAATTAAATCATTCACCTAATGTCTCATACTGTGGATAGGCTTTTACAGTTTTATTGAGCTCTGTGAAGTTGGTGAGGTGCTGGAGAAGTGGAGCAGACACAAACATAGATAAGATGATCTCTTTGGAAAAATAGGGGGCTGTTTAGCTTTAGTTGCTTGCTTGCTTTGGGTTTGTTTTATTATTTTTTTTTTAATTTTTTTTGTTTGGGTTTTTTGCTTTTATTGTGTTTTTTTTGTGTTTGGTTGGTTTTTTTTTTATTTTTTGGGGGTGTTTGCTTTGCCTTTTTTGGGTGAATTTTTTCTCACCTTTTGTTGGGGGGGAGAAGTATAGGTTCAGATCCCACCCTGGTAAAGATTTTTTTGATATTCAAAGTGGAATATATAAGTGAAGTAACTAAAAGGCCTGTAAGAACCTGTCTTCTTTGGAAGATAAATATATTTCCTGTATGATATTTGAGTACAGATATGTATTTAGATAGTTAATGCTGATTAAAAAAAGAAAACAAAACCAAAAAGAGTGGTAAACAGAAATTTAAATGAGGTTGGGAATCTGGGTGTTCCCATTGTTTTACATTCATTCCCACCAGTAAATATTTCTCTATCTTACAAAAGACATGGAAAGAAAAAGGTACAAGTAGTAATTGATGTGTTCAAGTATAGTAGAGGTGGAGGCCATAACAACACACCATAATTAAAACAGGACAGAAAGGAATGTAAAGGAGGTTATCTGTATTGAGAATACCACTTAGCAGTGAAAAAGCTTTAGTCAGTAACCACTATTTAAATCAATTTCTTCACTTGTTTGTTTGGTTTTATTTGTTTTGTTGGAGTTTTGTTTGTTTAAATGTTTGCTCCTGGATGCTAGGAATGAATGCAATTAAGTTTATAAGCATTTCTCATGGAGGTCAGTACTCACTTCTACATGTTGACAGGTCTGAATGAGTTTTGCCAGAAGAGTTTCCAGTTCAGTGTTCCTCTTAATAAGGTTGGTGAGGTTACTCTCCAAATTTTGCTGTTAAAATAAAAGAAAAAAAAATTTCAAAGAATTTAATACTTAGGTGAATATTTGAAAAATTGAATTACACAGGTATGAACATGAGACTTTCATATTGATATGTTCCATTACATTTTTCATTAGATTAGATGTTTTGTCAATACAAGACAAAAGAGCAAAAAAGTTCAAGTTAAGAGTGAATTCTGAAAAACAGGTTTTCTAAGGACCTAATAATAATTAGATTAAGCAATTAGTTTTATTCAGGAGGAAAAAAAATAGTAAGGAGAAGAGCAGAAAAGGCATGAACTTTCCTCAAAAGAAATATTTATTTTAACTGTGAACATTTTTGACTCCTTATTTCCTGCTTTTAGTCTAACATCAGAATTTAAAAGACTGCTGCTAACTAAGGTTTAGCACTTTCTTAGAATTTGAAGTGCTGGGGCGGGGGCATTGATTTATTTGATTTTATTCCCTAATTCAGCAGAGTTATATTTTTTAATAAATAATTCTAAAGAAAATTATCCATTCTACAGGTAAGAATGAAATACCTATTCACAAACTCTGCCTTCACTAGCTGTTTTTAAGACAGAATTTGTGGCATGTTTCTGTGTTTATCAACTGATTATGGCTGCCATAACGATCTGTAACTGTGGTAGAGCAAGGTCTTTTCCAGCTCACAGATCTGAGGCTGCACCCTGGCTCCCTGCAATTGCATGGGAGATTGAGATCTAGCAACAAATGTTTCAGCCTTCCCTCTGCTCCCTGCATCCACAGGAGGGAAACCCAAGCACCTGAGGAGCAGGTGTGTGACAGCTCTGACCCACTCCCTGGAGTCACTGAACAAGGATACCAGAAGTGGATCTGGTGCTTTTCTCCTCACAAGGGCTGCAAGTGTCTCTGCACAACTTTCATTAATTTCAATCCTCCTCATCTTTTATTAATGACCTTTTTTTCTTCACACTACTACTTTCCCTCTGGTGTATATCTATTTTTTTTATCATTTCTGTTCCCGCAGCTACCATTAACTTACCCGACTTGTATAATCCTCCCCCAACTCCCACCTCCATACACACATTTAGAGAGTGTCTCTGTGTGTGTATGTTTTCTGGTGTTGTAATCCCTGCCTTTCATGCTGTTTAAAACACCTTGTTCTTTGCCCTCCCCTTCTGCAGCTGTGCAGTTCCCATTTTTACATGTTGCTACAAACAAATGAAGAAGGCAATATTTAATTGCTGAATGACACACCCTTTGGCATGCACCAGGGTTGATTCTGTAAGCACTGGAGGGGCTGTCAGTTCTGTTCCACTAAGGAAAGCACAACATTTTGATGGCTTTATGTAATGACCCTTCCAAGAAGTGTGATGGGTGCTTAAAGTACATAATTTTGGCATTTTCTTCCCAGCAGAGCCATGCATAGTGTGTATGACAAACTCTGGCTGTAAAAATACCTTCTACACTACATTTATTTTACAACCCATTAAAACAAAGAGCAACAAGAACAAGCGTTTTTACTGAACTGCTTGTGCAGGATCCTAAATTTCCATAAGCCATACTGTGAATGATCTTAATTGCAAAGGCATGTTGGTTGTGCTGTCAGACGTCCCTTGGTAGGCTGAGAGTCACATGCAAAGTCAAAATATCATATATAGTTACAATATCAGATAACTTTTGCCTTCAATAAACAGTTCTGGCATTCACATGTACAAACACTATTGAAATTTTATTTATAAAGCTTCTTAATCTTATATATTATTTTTTAAATGTGTTTTAATATTTTACACTATGATGTTTCAATGAAAATCATGTATTCTTCATTGAAGTTATCTAATTTAAAATGTATTATTGACATAAAAAATACTAGAGGTTGGTAGCTATATACTATGAAGAAAAATGTATTCAAAACAGTTGTGGAACACTGCAATGATTTTAGATAAGTGAAAGTTATTTCTCTTCAACTAAGGCCATTAATACTTGAATTGTCAGCATTTTTCTCTGAAACAGTAATATATTGACTCATAGATTATATATAGATTATTATATTCAGGATATCTCCAAAATCTGGATATAATAATCTATATTCCTGTATATATATATTGGATGAAGAACAAAATCTTTGAATAAGTTTCTTATCCAGTGACTATAAATATAAACCCATATATATTATTATGGTTTCATACAGGTCTCTTGATACTTCTGCATTTCCTGACCATGAAAATGGAAGAAAACTGTGAAACAAGTGAGCTGCCTTAGCAATACTGGAGTTAATCCATTTCCATGCTCCATCTCCTTGAACTGTGTAATTTTTAATATGGGAAGCCTGGAATTTTGTTTCCATGCAGTTAGGTATGCAGGAGATTGTTTTGTTTTTTAAAATCAAGAATATTCAGAATTTTGTTAAATTTTTGTTGAAGAACATCAGTTTCTATTAATGCTTTACTAGACGACAAGAACCTGGTGGCTGCTGTCTGAAATTAATGTCAATCTCCAGTTTCACTAGAGCAGTACTGAATAGCAGCTCTTAAAAGTGACCTGATTCGAAAGTCTTAAAGCTCATAGAACTTGATCAATTCCTGCAGTATGTTTACCCCAATTTTCTCTTGGCAGTATCTTCCTCTAGTACTTTCCCCTATTATTTTCTCAGGCAGACCACAGAGCAGATTTAGCTACCATGTGATAATAAAGTTGCAGAGTTTGAGCTCTGCTCTCTTTCTTTACTCCATATAGGGGGACACAGAAAAGGCCTGAACATTTAAATTTCAGAAACAGATGTTTGCTCAGAGACTTTCCAAAGTGTTGCAACCTCATTTCTCATCCACACCAGGAACTTCCCCAGTTGCATAAGACAGCAGTGCCAGATTTGGAGGTCCGGCCAACTTGGAAAATTAATGTAGTTGTTGTAGACCAGAATTCCTGGGAGAGTGAATTTTAGCCAGGTTTGAAGTCCGAAGAAAGTGTGCTCTCACGTTATGATGAGTACATGTGAAAATGAGTAGCAGAGTAACCTGATTCCAAGTATCTTCCTTCTTCCCACCTAATCTTCGCCTGCTATTTTGTTGGGTAAACCAAATTACAATTGTATTTTTGGTAATGTTCTAGGTCAATCATAATTTCTTAAACATTTGCACCTTCCTTTTCTTATCTCTTTTTTTGTCAGTTGCTAATTTTCATTGTTATTAAAAACTGATCTTAGAAACACTGGGGTTTTTTTAAAGATGCACAATAGTTGCTCTGCATTTGCTCTGTGGACAGGCTTCATTTATGTTAACTCAGTAGATGCAAACTGCTCTCAAAAAGCAAAAGCAAGGCTGAATGCTTCCTGACTTACCAATGTAGATCCAGCACAAGATCTTGACATTTCATGCTTGCTTTGAAATTGTTTTTACAACATCCAGTATAAAGTGAAAAGAATGCTTACTGTCCATTTAGTATGGTCTGACAATTATATAACATCAATATTCCTATAATCTTGGCATAAATCCAAGAAGATGAAACCACAGAAATGTAATTGAAAAGGACAGTTAAAGATGATGTTTCATTTTTACTCTGCATGCCTATAAAATGATATGATCCAGAGACAGGAGTCTAAGCTGGAAAAATTAATGCTAAAAACTAGAGGAAGGCAACTCAGTATTGATCACATTTTTTAAGCTGCTGTCTCGCTCATGATCATGTTGCTGCTGAAGTCACGATCATGTTGCAGCAACAATTGCGTGAGGCTTGTGCCCTGATTGAAGTGGGAGGTCAGACTAGATGATCATAATGGTCTCTTCTAGCCTTTAAATCTATCAGTCTATGAAAACCAAATGTGAACCCATGCCCTTTGCTAAATTAACAGTCTCACGCAAAGCATTGCTTGTCTAAAACAAGAAGGTAGCACAAACAGATAATGCTAGGCTACTATATGGCTTGGAAATGCTGTCAAGATAAATTAATGTAAGCTTTTAAAGAGAAATGCTGAGTTGTGTGCTCCTGCCTTACGTCACAGCAGATAAAAAAAAAGCATCCCCAAGATCATCTTCTCAGAGACATTTTCCATAAAAAATGTCTATTTAAAAAGCCAGAAGAGAAAATGGATAGCTATCAAGTATAATGAGATTTTCAATTCCTTTTGAAGTAATGCAACTCTATTTTTCCTATTAAAAATATTATGATTTCTTCCACTGGTAAATATAAGCAGTCATTTGAATTTTCCACTCACTGCTTACTGGAAAGCTTTGAGAACTGGTCCACTGAAACTGCTGCACGTGCTAAGACACACACTGTGGGATAATATATATAACAATAGTCCTGATCACTATTTATATCAAATCCACCATGACCAAAGACTTTCAGCAGCAAGCATTGACTTCAGTTTGCATTTCCCTTGTTCTTAGTGTAGAACTGACCAGAGTAAAGCATATTTTGAGGCTATCTCCTGGATTAAAGAAAACAACTTTGTATAGTGGAAATTAAATTTAGTAATTGCTATGGTTTCGTGAGAACCACTGTCCCCCTCTCATCACCTCTTTACAAACAGTCAAAGTGAAACAGTTTATACATTTCCAGACTAGGTTAGTGAAAGTGTGCAACTTAAAGCCACACAGTTACACTGCTGCAGATGAGGAATAAAACGTCACAAAGCAGAAGTGTGGCCATATTCTAACTTACTCAAGCCAGCAGGGAAACCAGAGGGGTGTTGACATGGCAGATCAATCTTTAGTACTTGCAGGCTGGTTAGAGACCATAAACATATTCCCTGTCACTAACACAGTCCATGCAAACACATCTTCACTGAAATGTTTTCCTCCTGATTCAAAGGCATTATTCTGCATGTGCTCCAGTTATATTTTCACCTCGTCATAGAGACATTCCCCATGAACTAGTCCTGTTGCCTCCAGGACTTGTATCTAACCTATTAAAAAAAGTTGCCAATCAAATCCAGAATAACCGCCAGAATATCAAGCACGGTTTTGAGCCAGGTTTGGGGTACATGTGAGCTTAATGCCTCCTTTGGTGTCTTTATGTAAATGGACATGTCA